TTTAGGTTTGCATTTTTCTCCTGAGGATAATATTACCAAAGTTTCCAGAATTAACTTTTTTTTTTTTTTTTAAAAAACAAAAAGGTTAAATATCGGTATCATCTCTGACACGATAAAGAATTTGATAATATTTCGAATGAATCCGGATCTTTACTGATGTCAAATTGGTGGTTTTTTCTTAATTTTACGTTACTTTGTTATTATTTCTATAGGATATATTCGATCGTTCGATTGATGATATTGGCGATGAATGTAAAGGTAAGTTAGATTAGCTTTGATGATTTAAGCAGGGAATCACTGATGAAACTTAACGTAAGTATCGCAAAAATCGCATAAAAGAAATCGGATACGCTCAAAATCACAAAGCCATAAACAAGGAAACTCCAGTTGGCTATTAATAATTCAATAAAGGCCTGCTTGTTGTAAACCGAGCCGATTGAAAATCAATGAATTTGGTAAATCCGAAAAAAAATGTCGTGGCAATTCTCGATTACAATCTCACTACACAAAAAATTAATTTGCGGAAATATGTTTGATATAATAAGTCATCTTTACATTGTTTATTATACGACGTTATTTTATATAAAACTTTAAAACAAAAAAAATCACATCCAACAAAACGTACAAATAAAACAGTTCATATAGCGACTTTTAATCCTTTCATTTTTTAATAAATTTTGCTATTCTGGCTCGCTTATTACCTTATCTCTCAGTAGTCCTATTAATTGTTTTACAAATTTTCATAGGATTTCTTTGTTTTCTTTGACCGTACTCGTCCCGATGATTCTTCTCGCAATAAATGAACGTGGATTAATTATAATTGGTCAACATTTGTTTCATGTAATGCTTGCATGTTTCGGAAATTCCTATTATAGACCGAACTTCACTCGAATTGACAAACAAAATGACTCTATTAGTTTGCAAAGAAAACAACGAATCTATTTACTAACAATGAAATTTTTTTATTCAAGTTTCTATGCATATAAGATTAATACTCACAAATTACTATGTGAAAATAATATATAAATATGGAGAGTGTGTATCTCCTCGAATTCTTGTAAAAATTTAAACCCTGCTGGTCGTGGTTTAGTATAATTGTATTAAAGCATTTCAAGCATTTCATAGATAAATAAAGAAAAAAAAAATCATAACCAAAAATCACTTCAAAAATGTACATACTTGCACAAAAACTTCAATCTCTTCCGATAAACAATCAAAATTTAACGAAAAAGTCTCTATCCTTAATTCGTAAAAGCATTTTACTTTTCTTGTTTATTTATTTCGCATCAGTTCTCGCTTTATTGTATTATATTCCTTCAGAAGACCTTAACAATGAAATAAATTATAAGGACGGACCAATAGTTTCAAATCAAAAATCACAAAGAATTTTTAGACAAATTCCTTTATACACCATTAATATATCGAATGACATAATTGTAGGGTCAATAAGGATCTCTTCCTCCGAACCAAACGAGAAAATGAATCAATTTGAAATATCGGGTTATTTATATTTCGCATCCGACAAGCTTAACATCAAGAATACAAAATACCTGTTGGTCTCAAGTGAATCATGTGATAATTGGAAAGATGTAGTACAAGATGTTTCCGATATCATCACTTTTAAATCCGAACGAAAATCTTCCCCAGGAATAAAGGTTATTAGAAAGATTAAAGAAACATCATTCGAGTTATCAAATAAAATTGAATCTGTGAGCCATTTCGTTGTTATGCAGGATTCTGGACGTACATATAGACAGATAGCATGTGTTCCATTAAATAACGCATTAAAGACGAACACTTTTTAAAAGGTGCAATTAATTCGAAAATAATTTATACATTTTCTTAAGTTTTTTTCAAAAATTATACGCAATAAATCCATTCTCTAGCTTTGTCAAGAATTATACGCTCTCTTTATAATTTATTATAATCAATATATAAATAAGCAATGGCAAGAGCAATTAATTGTAAATGGTTTAATATTTTGAAATTTATAATATTTCAGATTCATTATACCAAAGAAATGATTGAATTCATAAGGTGAAAATTTTCCATCATAATTATCCTATCCTTGTTGTGATCTAATCAAAGGAATTCTCCCTTGATTAAGGTACCATTAACTTCATCCTTTACAAGAAAACTAAAAAAAAAAAAAAATTAAATTTAAATATTTTTTTTTAAATAAAAAGAAAAGTTACATTAGAAATAAAATGGTTAACCTCGTGCGGGATGTAGCAATATTATATAAATTACTTAGTGAACCAATTTCTTCTTCAATTTGTTCCTCGCTCATATAACCATTGTTTTGATTATGAATATAAGAATTCCCATCTTGAAAAGATTGAATTAGTTTTTTAGCTGCCAAAGCATGAATTTTATTCCCTTCCAAGACTATATTTTCGATAACAAATTTCAATTCAATAATTCCTTCTAGGGAATTGGCGGTAAGTAAAAGTGTATCGTTAACGGAAGCTTCATTTTCCTCAATGCAATAAAAGGTGAATCTATTTCCACTAAAAAGTGCTGGAATTTCTTCAATAACATCTTGTTCTCCGTTCGCTGCCGTCCAAATAAGTCTACAATCTGTAATTGGATGTGTAACAGCATTTCGTAACATACCTCGTAGTTTCTTTTCAATTCTTTCATTTGTTGCAAGAAATTGTGTGTAACCTCTTCCGACGTTCGTTAAAGTTTCTATGAGATTCTCACAACCTACAAAATCTCCAATATTTACTCCAAAAACACGGAAATATTCTTTTCTTTGGTTTACTTTATCTTTAATTAATTTAATGCAACCATCTCTATTTTCAACGTTATTATCTGTTAAAAGAAATAAAGTGGACGGCATGTCTGACAAAGAATTTTCAATGGCCCATTTCAACGGCTCATAAATATCAACGGTTTCACATGCTTCACATTCTTCGTAATTATATTCCAACTCGAAATTCTTAATAAACCCAAGTGCTTTCGAAAATATTGTTTTGCTTTTTTGATGACTTTTGTCAGAAAGCGTGTTATAATGATTGTCTTCAACTGAAATTATATTGAAATAGCAATCTTGCGGAAGAGAATATAATAAGAATTCTAGAGATTGTATCGTTTTACGAAATTTCAATGCATCTCTTCGCATTGATGAAGATGTGTTTACTATGAATACTAATTCTGATCGAACGGTTGTCATTGAAAAAGTTGGAACGAAAGTAAGCATTATGCAATTTGAAGAAGTTTTCTCATTATATTCCAAAAATGCTCTATATATTTAAAGAAAAACAATTTTTTTTTGTTTTTTTTTTAAATAAAAAGTAATAAATATAATTTTAATATAATAATTCATTTACCTTGGTTGATCTAAATCTTTGCTTTTGATTATTAAAACAAAATCTCTATCCAACAATTGAACATCCTTGGTTAGAGTAATACGTGCAATTTTAGAATTTCCATCAATATTCCATTCAGTTGAAATAAAATGAGAGGGGGATTCAATCTTATTTATTACTGACGTCGTTTTGCAAGTAATAATTATAGAAATAGGGCATTCGCTATTATTATTATTCTTATGAAAGAATGAACCTTTTGATAACTTGTGTCGAGGCGTCCTGAAAGTTGCAGGAAGAATAAATCGAACTTGTTCAATATCAGCGTCATTCTTAAGTTCTGTTAAATAAGTGATTTTAATAACAGTTGTTTGAAACGGTTTTAAATTTCCAATACTAAATTGAAACAAATCGGATTTATTATTTGAGGCTCGTTTATCCGAATTGTTATTATTTTGCTAGAAAATAAATATATAATATATACATATGTATTAATTAAAATGAATTATTCGAAGGGAAAAAAAAAAATATCTTAAGAAAAATTTCATATATATAGCTACTTTAACTGCCTCATTAAATTCTTGATTGGCTTCGTAAGATTCTTTAATTATACCATTGATGGTTTTTCCTCCGTCAACTTCAACTTCGAATTTATAAATCGCCACGGATGAGATTAATGGAAAAGTATATTCCGTTTGAAGAGTTTCTGGGGTTTCATTCTTAAAAGTTTGGGTAATTTTCACTAAATGAAATTAAATATAGTCAAATTTATTTTTTTTAAAAAAAAATATTGTAAAAATTGTTTATTATATACCTTCCGCAAGCATATCAACGACTATCAAAAAAAAAATAAAAATAAAAATAAAGAAAAAGAAAAGAAAAAGTAAAGATTAATATAATCAATATAATCAACAAATTCAAAGTACTCTCAAATAATTTTTATTTACTATTAGCTTCGATATCAATATTTTTCAATGTTATTTGTTTCATATTTTTTCCATGGATTACTCCAAAAAGATTATTATTCATCTTTGATAAAATATTACTATCAACAACGTTTCTGACGATGATGTAATGATTTGTCGTATCGTGAGGAGAGAGAGTTTTAGTGGCTTGATTATATACATATTTATTTAAAGGTAGCACGAGGAGAATGTCGTTTATTAATAATACCGAATTAAGCAGATGAAGCTAGATACTATTGACAAATGACAATTAAATATTTATTTTTGATTATATAAAAGAAAATTGGTTTCAAAGGATTTTTGTTTATAATACGCCTTCTAATTATGTACAAATATAGTGAACTCATTTAAAAAACATTTCCAATTTAAGAAATAGTAATTTCTCCGAGACATAAGAGATCTGATTGAATAATTAATTTGGAATATTAAGGGTATTACTTGATTACGTTAACCCCCACCTAATAATAGGAGGAATACAAATGTTAATTTATTTGTAAATCAAAAAAAAAAAAATCTATTTTAGTTTTAAATAATGTATTAAATTTTTATTGAGGATTTATTATAAATATTAAATTAAGAATATTTATAATTATAATTGATAATGATACTTTCGATTTTTCAATTTTTTAACATATTAAACATATGAAATCCTATTTTCTATATGCTATCCTACTATAAATTACCAGATTTTATAATAAAACATAATAAATTATCATTTTTTTTATATAAATGTTTAATAAATTTAATAAAGTATAATAATTTTATTTATTATATCAATTATAGTTTTTAAAAATATAAGTAAATTTTAAAATATTAAAAGAAATCTGTATACAAAATAATTTTATATAAAAAATAAAAAAAATATAAAATTATTACAATTAAAATTTTTTTTATATTTTAAAAAGAAAATTTATTAATTTATATAAGATGTGTATATATGTTCTCAGATTAGCTAATGTATTTAATTTTGCATTTTATTTAATTATTTCAAATGTATCAAATTTGATAAATGTATAAAATAATCTATTTTTTTGTTTGATCAAAATATTTGATAAATTTTGTAAGTATAACTTTATGATAATAAACTAATGATATTTGATAAAATATATTTTAAACATCTTCTTTAAAATAAATTAAATAATTCTATTTAATTAGGATCTTAATAATTATTATCCTAATTATCATTATTATTTTCATTACTATTATTATTTTAATATAAATAGATTTATATTTATTATCTAATAATCCTAAAGCTTTTAAAATTTATATTCTTATTTAATTTTTTTATTAACTTTAAGATTAAAATCAATTAATAAATTTCATTTTAAAATTAATGTAAAATATATAAAATGTATTAAAGTTATTTATCTTTAATTTAGCATTCTAAAATATAAGTATTATTATAAATAAATAAAATAGAATATATTAACTAGTAGAATTATCTGTGAAATAATTATATAAAATTGATTACCTGATAATATATAATAAGCATTTAGTAAAAAATATTGATAATTAATAATATAAATTATAGATTTAATAAAAAATATATTAATAAAAAATCTTATTTTTATTCATATTATAAATTTGTTTAAAAAGATAATTAGATATAATAGTAATAAAACTTTGAAAAAAATATTTTTATTAATAAATACTGCTTTTTTAAAACTTTGCTAACAAATTCTATTATATTTCTTAAATCTTTAAAGTTTAACTGCATTTTATTTTTAAAAATTCTTAATCATTTTACTAATAACTTAACTTTTAATTAAAATTATATCACTTAAAATTACTTAGTATTAATAATTTAATATAAATTTTTTAATATTAAGTTTAATTTTTAAATAAATAATTAACTTATATTATTTTTAATTTTAAATTATTTTAATAAATAGCTATTTTTTTTATTTATTATTATAATTTTATCATTGTAACTTTTTATCTTATTTAATCTATAAGAGTAATCATAAATATTTGACTGATTTTAACTTCAGAACAAATTCAAAAATTTTTTATTTAAAATGTATAACTAACTAATTAAACATTAGGGTTAGATTAGTCTAGTCTAGTCTGGTCTAGTTCAAAAAGACCAGTCTTTTATCTTTTTTTAAAACTGAACCAGTCCATAAGTCAGTCCTAAGATTAGCTCAAGGACTAGTCTCTAAGACCAGTCTTTATATATTCAGTTCTACTGATTCGGTCTGATCTAAAATATGTTTTTTTTTTAATTTGAACTGATTGATAAGACTGATATAAAGACTGATCCTTAGTTAGCATATAATATTAAAGTTTAATTTTAAAGAAGACAAAAATAAATTGTTTTTTTATTATAAATGAATACAAATATATACTAAATTAAATTATTTAATATTAAAAAAAATGTTCTTTCCTTCTTTATTAATTACTATTCTATATTGTTAACGTGTAATTCTTACGAATTGCGACAGTTAGACGGGGTGTTCGAGTGGTGATTCTTTTAAGTTTACGTAGTGACTCGATTCAGTTTAACTCAAGATTTAGAATCTACACGGTAGTGTATTCACAATAAGACTAAAAGCAAAGCGACTCAATTGGATTCAGAGATATAATAATATATTTATTGATAATAATAATAATAATAATAATATGAGATAATAATAGAAAAATAAGAAAATAAGAAGTAATATGAAAAGAAGTCAAAGAATTAAAGTACTAAGTGGAATGTTAGGCCAGGCGCCTCTACAAGAACTACTAGATGTGTATCCAAAAGCAGGACTAAAGGAAAAACTAAAAGTGAACTAAAAGTGAACTACCGTTTTACATGATTCTATTGCTCTCTATTTATACTAAATTAATACATAGATGGATATAACAAATAAATCAAATAAATCAAATATATCTTATATGTCCGATATGTCCAAGATATCAATTATATCAAATATGTCCGGTATATCAAATATATCAAATATGTCTGACATTTAGATCTGCAATATGCTGCGCCACGTTCGTCAATCCAATCCTGTTACATTACTCCTCGCTTAAGATTTCTGCTCCAGCAGAAAGATTCAAAGCTTCAATTACCAGGGCTTGATATTCAGTAATTTTTAAACGTCGAATCATCGTTAACGTAAGCGACTGAGTACTAAAGATGCGTTGAACTCCAAGATGTTCAAATAGGTAGAAAACTCGTATGGCAGTTCGATAATAATGTGTAATAATATTAGATACTTGTACCGTACATTGAGCAGGCATGTTAGTTTCATCTTCGAGGAGTTATCCTAAATAAAAAAAATTGACAAGTGACAAAAGTCGATTACTCATGTATATAGATCGTAAGAGAGCTCGGTAAGTGATTTGTACTTTTTGTGATAATGTCATGTCATCTTTATAAGGTTCTAAATTCTGAAGGGTTATGGTCAAAGACATTGTCGTATATTTCAGTTGTTCTAATACAGTTTCGAAGTTATCTAGTACAGCCATTTTAAATTTTTCAAAATAGTGTCATCAAAGTCCTAACTAGGTCTATATTTATAAAAAATTTTGTCAACTGATGATGACTTGTGGTGTCCATTCAGATCTTTTCAATATGGTTTTAAAAGATCGACATGTACTGGGTTCTTTCTAACTCGTCCATCTATAGTACGCAATTTGTATGTACCAGGTCGTACAATATTATGTATGTAGAACGGTCC